CACGATGATAACAGTTCAAATGTGTTTTACCCAATCACGCAATAAACACGTTTTTTTTTCTGAGTAGCGTAAACTGATCGTGAACGCCGCTTTGCCAATGTTACATCGGGTGGAATTGATTTTGAATGAATTTTAGCTATCAATCTAAAGACTGCATCTATCGTCAGAAAATATTTACTTACAAAGAGGTGCTAATTTTACAAAATTGACTTGTATTGTTTAAAGCCGATACCACATCGCACGACTATGTCTATTGTTTACAAATTATTATCCACGACTGGCAGGATGCTTGTCGGTCGGTACGCAAGTATAATAACAATATGACAATAGTCGGACGCGTTTCCGTGGTGGATGCTAATTTTGAGTGCCGGTCGGGCCAACCAGCGTGACGAGATCCCCAATGAAAAAAGCACTATGGCGGTCTTGCTAATCACCGTGGCGGTGCCAGACCGGTGTGGCGGCAAATCGAAGTACTGTGGCGGGACCGCCACGCTGTTTACATCCTGGGGTGAACACTGAGTTGCAAACATTCTACTACACAAATCTGACAGGACAGAATTTGAACTCATCATTATAGACTGTTGGGCATGAAGAAGTGAACCTTGATACATCATATGGCATGAATATGAAGGTCAGCAAAATAATACAAGTACAAGTACTTGTCTAGTGTATTTTGTCACTTCACTGCCTGATAAGTAAATTATAAAATGTGAGAAAATTTGCATTTCTTTATTTGGCAGGGATCTCGCCAGCCCAAAGTGAGTGTCGGTCGGTGATTAGCAATTTTTAAAAAGTAAAATAGGTCTTGAAATAAGAGTTTTTACATGATTCGCTATGATAACAGTTCAAATGAATTTTACCAAATCACGCAATAAACGCGTTCGTTCTTGAGTAGCGTAAACTGACCGTGAACTCACTTTGACTATGTTACATCGGGATGAAATTGATTTTTAAAGAATTTTAGCTTTCAATCTAAAGACTGTCTATCGCAGAAAGTATTTACTTACAAAGAGGTGCTAATTTCACAAAATTGACTAGCTGCTACGTATCGTGCGACTATGTCTATTGTTTGCAAATTATAATCCACGACTGGCAGAATGCGCGTCGGTCGGTATATAAATTATAATAATAATAATCGGACAATAGTCCTGGTCGGAAGCATTTCCGTGGTGGTCGCTAATTTTTAAGTGCCGGTCGGGGCCGACCAGCGTGGCGAGATCCCTGATTTGGTTACATTTAAAATAAAGTACATGTACCCTTTGTGTTATTTACCCCCTCAAACCTGAAAGTTCTGCAAAGCATTACTACTATACTGTAGAATACTTTGTTTTAGCTGCAATTAATTGTCGCTGAAAAGACTTTTTTGGTGTTTTGTGTGGAATTTATTTTCACTGATTATTGACAAGTTTAATGTAAAATATAGGGAAAAGGGTATATTCGCTGGATTTTATTTTCACTGAATCATTCCTTCGGCGAAAATACCGAAAATTAATTCCAAGTGAAAATACTATAATTTACAGTACTTGTCTTCATAGAGAAAAGAAAACCCATATATTTTTTGGCCTGTCATCTGCCACAAAAAGTCAATGGAAATGTTTGAAAATCATGATTTCAAGAAGAATTTCGTGTCTAACAATCATCAACATTAGTCTGGTTTACCTTATTTTCTCTACTTTCATAGAAAAACGATTCTCTGTGTACTCTAATCCATCTCATCCTAATTTTTTTTTTTAAACTGAGGTCAAATCCTACCTCTATAATGATGTTTATTGAGTGAATAATTTTGGAACACAAAAAATTCTGTGAATTAACATCAGTGATTGAATGGTGCGACAAACTTTCATTTTGTGTCAAATGCGCTTCACCTGATCGAAGAACATAGTCACAGAACCATATTTGTCCGTATTATCTACAGGGCTTTGCAAGAGAACCACATCCACATTTTCAATCACTGGAATTCCAACGAATCCTGGGGGTAAAGATTGATTCAAATAAAATACACCTGATTGGTTATTAATATACTCCCTGATGTTCTTCGAATTTTTGACTCCCATGTGCGAAGCACAAAATGGGAGTCTTTGCAGTTAGTGTGTCTGTATGTGTGTATGTGTGTATGTGTGTGTGTATGTGTGTCCGACTGTTCCACTGCTATCTCAAGAACCATACATCGGTTTTTGATGAAACTTGGTGCATAGATGCTCTGGGCCAATGCGCAGATTTGATTAGGTTTTGGTAAAAATCCATGCTCGTTAATTACCTAATTTGCATGATAATTAGCTAATTTTTAGCTGTTCTATGACTGTTCCACTGATATCTAAAGAACCACTCATTGGATTTTGATGAAACTTGGTACATAGATGCTCTGAACATATGCGCAGATTTGATTAATTTTTGGTAAAAATCCGTGCATATTAATTACCTAATTTACATGATAATTAGCTATTTTTTAGTGGTTCCATGACTGTTCCACTGATATCTAAACAACCACTCATTGGATTTTGATGAAACTTGGTACATAGATGCTCTGAACTAATGCTAGGTTTTGATTAGTTTTTGGTAATAATCCGTGGATACTAATTACCTAATTTGCATAATGATTAGTCAATTTTCGGTTTTTCCACTGATATCTCAAGTACTAATCATCACATTTCAAATGAAACTTGGTACATAGATGTCATACGACACTGCACAGACCTGATAGTTTTTATGGTAATATCAGTACATATTAATTACCTAATTTGCATAATTAATTAACTTTCGGCATTTGATATAAGTAGTTAGCATTACATTTCAATGAAACTTGGTACTTACATACTCAAGGACTATGCAGAGATTGATTGTTTTCGATAAATATTTGTGCATATTAATCACCTAATTTGCATAATTAGTTAATTTTCAGCTTTTCCACGGGTATCTCAAGTACTAATCATCGCATTTCAATGAAACTTGGTACATAGATCCTTTAGGACTATGCAGAGACCTGATTAGTTTTAGGGTAAATAATTGTGCATATTAATTACCTAATTTGCATAATTAATTTTCAGCTTTTCTACTGATATCTAAAGTACTAATCATTTACATTTCAATGAATCTAGAATTATGCAGACCCAATTAGTTTCCGGTAAATATTTGTGCATATTAATCACCTAATTT